TAACAAGCCAGTTGAATGTATTAGTGGAGAGATGGCATTTAGGAATAGGTGGCTGAACAAGTATTGAACACCTTGGACTTCTATCTGGTGAGAGGGAAAATTTATCCAGAATGTTTGTATTGACTATTTTGTAAAAGTAGCTGCATATACATGCACACACACACAGACACCATTCAGAATCACACTTGAGTCTATCCCCTTCACCTACCTTTAGTAAAGTTCCTCAGGCTGATTTTTGCTCTATTGCACCAAAGCTTTGTGGGACCAACTTCCAACAGATTCCAAGGGGGAGGGAACTAGGCCCCCTCAGGTGATTTGCAATTCGTATGCCCTGACTAAGGAAGCAACAGAAAAAATCCCAAACTTATGCCCTGAATATTTTGCACTGTTGAGCTCAGATTGGGATTCCTAGAGCTCAGTATGTGTAATTTAAAGAAAAATTTAATAGCCTGGCATATTGGACATTACAAACCTGGATGCACTGAATTAAGAGCTAAGGCAGGAAACAACCCTTGAAATTGGGCAGTCAGTGGTCATGTAGTAAGGAAAACCATGGCTGTGAAGAATTTTGGGAGGTATACAAACCTGACTGAAAGCTAAAGGTGATATCCAACATTTGAAAATGATTGGCACAGAATATTGGACACTATAAATTTCTTTTCCACTTAACAAAATTTTGCCCTGACTTTTAGAACTTTATGGGTGCAAGCTCCCCTTTTGGGAGCCACTAAAGGGATCTTTTTCTGCTGCCTCCATTAATGTCCTTGCTTAACACTACCAAGTCTCCCTGACCAGATCAATTTTAATGTTGTGCCAATAAGTGTGTTAAGGCACAAAGCGGGGGATTGATGAAAGTTAGCCCAGAAGGAAATATTAAAAAGGGCTCCTCAAAAGGACTTTTTAAAACCAAACTTGGCCCCAAATCTATCTCTCTGCCCCAAGCAAGACTTTAGCCCTATACAAATGCAAATGTAAAACCATCAGAAAGTTGGAGCTAGAGCAATCAAGAAGACAAAAGAGAAGATCTGCTCTCTAGGAGTCAGCCCCATCACCTGGGAAGCAGGATATGATCTAAACCACAGATATCAAGGCCTAGACAAACACTCAGAAACAGCCTCAAGGTTCATGCCACAGGAACAGGAAACTATTCCAAACAAGGCGGTATAAAAGCCTACTGCCCCATGTGCTCAGCCCTTCTCCTTCGCTCTTCTTCTCTCTCCTCTGTACTTTCCTGAAGACCATCTTTCTGCAATAAACTGTAACCTTCTTCCCAAAGCAGTCGCCATGTTTGCTTATTTATTCCCGGCTTGGATGAACCAGGATGAAGACTTTACTCCTAACAGTAGCTAGCAACACTGTCTGCTTTACTACCCCCCCAGCCGCAGAAAGGTTAGAAATAGAATTTTTTAAGAGTTTTCAATACGACCTGATTTTTAGATCCAAGGTGTGTGTCCTGTGGGGCGAAAGACTAAGTCAAGACTGGGGGATGGCCTCAGGAAGAGGGGCGTGGCAATTTGGCTGACTTAGTCTATACGGGCAGAAGACAAGCAAAACCCATTGGTGGATTCTCCACTTGTCATGCTGGAGAATGGCCCAATCACTTTTTTGTAATTAATTTGTTTCCATCCTTCCCTCTTGTTACAAAATAACTTTGTACTCAAGCTGATGTTCATACATCATGCATATATGAATTTCAGAATAAAACATTATTACATATTTTTTGATTGGGCAAAGTTAATAAATCTTGCATTCTTTCTACTCCTCTCCCATATGTGCCCATTGATCTTCCAAGATCTGTTTTTCCTTTACCAGTATTACACTCATTACTGGAAAAACGTCTATCCAGAATATGCATTTCAGTCCAAATAGAGACCACCAAACTCTATCTGCTCTATGCTCAGAACAGCATATGCATGTTATGTTCTAGACCAGCATAACCTGAAAATAGGAAAATTATAGAGTAAATGGCACTGGAATAAACTACCTTTAACTATGTTTTCTTTCCTTTTTCTGATCTTGAGCCTTTAATGTTTTTGTAATACTTACTCCTTTTCAAAGATTCACACAATGTTGCTTATCTTGAAAGAGGATAGGAAGATGAATATGTCGGGGGGGGGGGGGAATTGCACAATTTTTACCAAAACTCAGCCTTGGTTCTTCTAATATCATCATTTATACTCCCATAAAAATATACAACATATAAATTCCTACAATCTAATTGATATCAATCACATGTTCTGTTATTTTAGTCTTTTCATTCATAATTAAATAAATCTTTCACTTCCCTGTATGCATTTATCAACTCTGCTCCACAGAATCAGAATATTTTAATATTTATTACATCTTTTTTTAAAAAAATTGTTTCATATACCTGGCTTTAGTAATCCATGACCTTTTCCATTTCTTACATTCTAAGTCTCAATCTTCCACATGTGTGGCAATTATTACCAGATAGGCCAACAGTTCTTCCCACCCATCATGATTTTGTTCAATCAAACATTTAGTTAACAACATATTTTACTGAGATAAAGAACATTTAACCTTCTAAAACAGACATGTCAAACTCGCGATGTCACATGACATCGCACAATGTATTGGGACAGTTTTGCCATTGCCAGCAATGGGGTGGGCACAGCTTCCGCATGATGCATCCAGCCCGTGGGCTGGCAGTTTGACACCATTCTAAATTATTTGTATTCATACTACATTCAACACTCTTTGAAAATATCAAACAATTTTGAATATTTTGGCTAACATGCCATATAGTTATACTATCTAGAAATTGTCTTGTGATTGTTGTCCATATGCTACCAAAACTTGTACAGGAGATAGAAATAGTCCTCGACTTACAACAGTTCATTTACAGTGAGAGAAGAAATTATTTGATCCTCTGCCGATTTTGTATGTTTGCCCTCTGACAAAGAAATGGCTAGTCTATCATTTTAATGGTAGGTTTATTTTAACAATGAGAGACAGAATAACAACAAAAATCCAGAAAAACACATTTCAAAAAAGTTATAAATTGATTTGCATTTTAATGAGTGAAGTAAGTATTTGATCCCCTATCAGCAAGATTTCTGGCTCCCAGGTATCTTTTATACAGGTAACAAGCTGAGATTAGGAGACTCTCTTAAAGGGAGTGCTCCTAATCTCAGCTTGTTACCTATATAAAAGACACCTGTCCACAGAATCAATCAATCAATCAATCAGATTCCAAACTCTCCACCATGACCAAGACCAAAGAGCTGTCCAAGGATGTCAGGGACAAGATTGTAGATTTACACAAGACTGGAATGGGCTACAAGACTATTGCTAAGCAGTTTGGGGAGAAGGTGACAACAGTTGGTGAGATTATTTGCAAATGGAAGAAACACAAAATAACTGTCAATCTCCCTCGGTCTGGGGTTCCATGCAAGATCTCACCTCGTGGAGTTTCAATGATCATTAGAACAGTGAGGAATCAGCCCAGAACTACATGGGAGGGCCTTGTTAATGATCTCAAGGCAGCTGGGACCATAGTCATCAAGAAAACAATTGGTAACACACTATGCCGTGAAGGATTGAAATCCTGCAGTGCCTGAAAGGTCCCCCTGCTCAAGAAAGCACATGTATAGGCCCCTGTGAAATTTGTCAATGAACATCTGAATAATTCAGAGAACTGGGTGAAAGTGTTGTGGTCAGATGAGACCAAAATCAAGCTCTTTGGTATCAACTCAATTAGCCGTGTTTGGAAGAGGAGGAATGCTGCCTATGACCCCAAGAACACCATCCCCACCATCAAACATGGAGGTGGAAACATTATGCTCTGAGGGTGTTTTTCTGCTAAAGAGACAAGACAACTTCACCGCATCAAAGGGACGATGGACGGGACCTCCTTCCCTCAGCCAGGGCATTGAAAATGGGTCATGGATGGGTATTCCAGCATAGCAATGACGCAAAACACATAGCCAAGGCAACAAAGGAGTGGCTCAAGAAGCACATTAAGGTGCTTCTAGCCAGTCTCCAGACCTTAATCCCATCGAAAATCTGTGGAGGGAGCTGCCAAACGTCAGCCTCGAAACCTTAATGATTTGGAGAGGATCTGCAAAGAGGACTGGAACAAAATCCCTCCTGAGATGTGCACAAACCTGGTGGCCAACTACAAGGAACGTCTGACCTCTTTGACTGCCAACAAGGGTTTTGCCACCAAGTACTAAGTCATGTTTTGCGCAGGGGTGAAATACTTATTTCACTCATTAAAATGCAAATCAATTTATAATTTTTTTGAAATGCGTTTTTATGGATTTTTTTTGTGTTATTCTGTCTCTCACTGGTAAAAAAAAAAACTACCATTAAAATTATAGACTGACCATTTCTTTATCAGTGGGCAAACATACAAAATCAGCAGGAGATCAAGTACTTTTTTTCCTCACTGCAGTAGCCATTCAAAGTTACAGCAGCACTGAAAAATGTGACTTATGACTGTTTTTCATAGTTACAACCTTTGCAGCATCCCCATGATCATGCAATGAAAATCCAGATGTTTGGCAACTGACTCATATTTATGACGGTTGCAGTGTCCTGGGATCATGTGATCACCTTTTGCACCCCTCTGACAAACAAAGTCAATGGGGAAGCCAGATTCAGTTAACACCCAGGTTACTAACTTATCAACTGCAGTGATTCACTTAACAACTATGGCAAGAAAAGTCGTAAAATGGAGCAAAACCACGTAACAAATGTCTCCCATAACAGAAATGTTGGGCTCAATTGTGGTTGTAAGTCGAGGACTACTTGTACAAGTTTTAATAAAAGATACAGAACTCTTTAACTGAAGGATTCCAGCCTTTCATACTCAGAATTTAGCTGTTGTGACTGTAACTTGCTTGCCAGATACAACATACATTCCCCCCACCTCCCCAGGGAAACATGGTTCTTAATCATGTGCAGAGTCGGATTACCTGAGCCCCTCCCTCTCCTATAAATACAAAAGGTTGATCCTTTTACAACAAAGAACTCACCCGAAGTCTGTGGACTGTGGCTGGAAAAGAGCAAGGTTTTCCATCTCTTCATCAATCTCTGAGTAACAGTTTGTATTTGCAAGAAGCTGGAAAAGTCTAGGAAACTGAGGTAGAAATACATTCGCTTCAGAAACCTGCTATTCTATTTGAAATCCTTAAATTTTTCTGAAGATTGTAAATTTAAACTTTTTCAAATAGTGTGGCTGATGGTGAAATCTGCAGGGAAAATGGCTAGAGCAGGGGTTCTCAACCTTGGCAACTTTAAGACATGTGGACTTCAACTCCCAGAATTCCTCAGCCAGCAAGGCTGGCTGAGGAATTCTGGGAATTGAAGTCCACAAGTCTTAAAGTTGCCAAGGTTGAGAACCCCTGGGCTAGAGGCTTCTTCAGGAAGCTTTTTATGTCTTTGTATCCTTGTTTATTTACTATTTTTGGGACAACAGTTTGGTAGTCCCTGTTACCACCACCTATCCAGCTCCTAAACCTGTTTTGTGTGAGAGGTAGGACTTTTATGCCTTTTGCTATTATTCTGGCAATTAAAAAGTCATAATGCAAAAATTTCACTCTGAAGCTTAGAGGCACGGGGACAGGATTTACCCTTTCCTATTGACTTTTGTGAGCTAAGCCAGTTTCACAAAGCGTAAGCAAAATCAAACTTTTTAAAGGAAAAGTATAATGTAAGTAAAAAAAAAACCTCTCTTAAATTTAAGTAACAAGGTGTTAACATTCACTGTTGAAATAAATTGCAGAACTGTCCGGATCAGATTATACAGACATTGGTAAATTGTTCAAAAGGAAAAATCTAAAATACACATGGTGCTCTTCTATTAAAATTGGAGGTCTCTATACCCAAGTTTCCAGAAAAAGACTAGCAAAGTTACATATTATTGTTATGGATTACAAGAATTTCCAAAGAAAAGCACGTCTCTTCATGCAGGCAGCCTAAAATATAGATAAAAGGTCAAATAAAGCTCCAGATATCATTCCCTATGTGAAATTGAGGCACTCAGCACCAGATAAAAACATTAATACATAAAAAAACAGACACAAATGCCTGGCTTGAGATTTTTGCTATTTACTACAGAAAAGGGTTGTCACTCAATAATAAAGCACATATTACGACAGCCAAAGGTCCCAAATTTACTCCTGGGCATAAAAGAAGGCCTGCAAGAAGGAAAGTGTCTGCCAAGCAATGTCAATAAAAAAGGCTAGATAGACCACTAACCTCTCCCATATTAAGCAGCGTACAATTTTAAGTTAAATTCAGTCTACAATAGCAATATTGCTTGTTCAAATAATTTATTTATATACTGACTTGTCTCCAGGAACAGTAGAGATATTACTCCCTCCGCCCATTTTTTCCTCACAATAAAACCCTATAGGCAAGTGGACTGAGAGGGACTGATTTACTGAAACCTACCCATAAAGCAACCCTGGTTGTGGTTAAACCTAATTCTCACTTTCCCCAATTTTAATTCAACTCCCTAACCATTACATCTCACTGATAATTGAGACACGGCTTCAAAGTACAGCACATACAACCTTTTATCCAGTACCCCTGGCATTCCAGTAACAAGTCTTCTAACCTTCTGTTTAATCCAGGACAAAATGAAGCAAATTAAGCCACATGGGTGGTCTTTCATCACCATGGATAAAGATGCTTCCTCTAACAATTTAAGAGCATAGCTCAGGGGTAGGCAACCCAAAACACTCAAAGAGCCACTTGGACCCGTTTCCCACCGAAAACAAAACACTAGGAGCCGCAAAACTCTTTTGATATCTAAAATATAGATATACATATACATACACACATACATATACACACATATATATATGGTATATATATATATTAAAGGTAAAATTATATTATAAAATTATAATATATATTATATATTATATAATATATATAAAAGGTAAAAAAGGATATATGCAGTGTTATCTTCATTTTAGATGTCAAAGGGGTCTCTCTCTCCCTCCCTCTCCCTCTCTCCAATCTTCTGCCCACTTTTTTCACACACACACACACACACACACACACACACACACACACACACAGAGGGAGGCAGGGAAGTGTAAGTGCCTCTCTCTGTCTCTCTCTGCAAATGGCAGAGGAGGCTGGGAGCTACAGGGGAAGGCTCAAAGAGCCACATGCGGCTCCGGAGTCGCAGGTTGCCGACCTGCGGTATAGCTAATCATGCCAATACAGTACAATTCTATGTTTTTTGCCTTTGTAATTAGCAGCAAGCTTAATCAATTGGTGAATATTTTTCAAAGACAGCAGAAATTATATTGCCTTGTAATTGAGAGGACAACAGATGAGAGTTAAGTGCAAACTGATGCTAACTGAAGCACATCTTAACTTCATACTTACAAAGATGCAATCTGAATTAGCTATAGTTACTACCGAGATGCTAGGGCAGAAGTAGGCAATGTGTCTTGGTATCGGTAAAGTTCCCGGCCCTACGTGACATTAACCTCTTGGCTGGCTGAGACTGCTGAAAGTCCTGGGCTTCTACTTCAACCTCCACACCACTCACCGAGGAATGCCACTGAGCAGAGTGGCCACAAGGGCAGAGATTGTCGGGGAGGGGAGATAGGTTGATGAGGAGACATGAAGTTGTAAGTGTAAGTGGGCTGCCAAACGCCCAAAGTTTGATTACGTAATCATGGGGGAGCTGCAGTGGCCATAACAGATGTAAGTACCATTCATTCAGCAGCACTGTAATTTTGATCAGTCAGTGAATGAATGGCAATTAACTGAGGACTACCTGTAATTGAAAGGAAAGGACTGTTATGTGACAAACATAACATAAATATTACTCTGCACTGTACTTAGAAAGCAGTAGAAGCAGCATAAATTTTGTTTCTGCAGCTACAAAGTCCAATGGAGGGGGAAAAAAAACTGACTGCCTCTTCTAAATGTGTATTTGCTATGCAGTGTTTCTCAACCTTGACAATTTTAAGGCATGTGGACTTCAACTTCCAGAATTCCACAGCCAGCCACCGTGCTAAAGAATGCAGAGGAAAGCTGATCTCAAAGTGGAACAAAACTTGGCTGTTTCAACTAGCACCGTTCTAGAATTCTGGCTGTTCTGAATGCTGTGATGTGGTTGCTATTTTACGACTCATTATTGATTTTCTTCCCTTTCAAAGTATTTGTATTTGTTGTCTGTTGAGTCTGGGATAGGATAATGAGACTCTAGAATGCCTTGTAATGCAAATTCATGCAGCATAAATTGATAAGTTACCTTGCATTTTGAAAATGTTGAGAATTAAAATCTAGTCTAGTATGTTTAGTGAAAGAAATATTCAGTTTACATAACCAATAAATGTATCAAATATAAGTGCAGGACAGCAAAATGAAAGTATTAAGGTCACCTACATTCCAAATTCAATTCATGAGAGGTAGGCTTCTGATGTTCAGACAGGATATAAGGCTCTGTCTACATGCCATCTCAGTAACATATAAACATGGAATAAGATGACTGACAAATTCCAGGAAACTGCCTTCACTTGTCCATAATAGCAACATGAGAAGAATTACTAAAGCACTAGATTTAATGAGAATGCCATGGAGATTTTATCTTCCAGGACAAAGGAAAAAAATAGCAAAGAGCCAGGTATTAAGAAAAATGTAGCATGTAGTAATAAGAAACAGTTATTTAGTAATACATTTGTGAGAAGTACTCAGGAAACACATCAGCGGTAATCTGAGAAAAGATATTTAACAAGTAAAATAAAAATTAAAGGAATGGGGGTATCTGTTATGCTTCTGCCTCAAAAAGCTGCCTGGTATTTTCTATAATATTTGATTCCTTCTTTGTTTTCCAAGGGGCTGTTTCTATTTTGAAAAAGTAGAAACAAGTGACCATGAAAACAAGTGAAGCAGAAATGGACAGAATGACATACAGTAGTTTGGTATAAGCCTAAAATTTGTGTTTTAATGGAAAGTTTTAGACTAGAGATTGATAAACTGACCATCATAGAAATCCTCATTATTGGCATGCTGGCTACACTGGAGGGAGTTGAAATTCAGGAGAATCTAAAGTAGTGGTAGTACACCTATGACACTGGTCTCAATGGTGACATGCCACAATGTTTTGGGAGACATGCCAGCATTCAACAATACACCTAACAACTGCTGTTATTCTTGAAAGTATGATCTGTCCCAGTGTGATTTTTGGAGGCTGCAAAGGCCACGCGAGAATGGGATATGCTCTGTGGACTCTGGACTCTCTGAAAATTGTGTGAGAACAGGGCGTGCTTTCTTCCAGTTTTCAGAGGCTGCAGAAGAATATTCTCTGAAGCCCCAAGCACTAAGGCCTCGGGTAACCCGCAGCAGCCTTGGATAGGTTACAGGGGCCTGTCAACAAAAAGAGAATACTGACTGAAGATAACCAGCACACAGCAGATTGGGGAACACACCAGGTGACCTTTTTGAGTGGCAGCAGTGAGGTTAGGGCTAAAACTGAGCCCCGGGCCTCTATTTGAGGCTTAGCATTAGCACTGTCTCCACATGCTACTGTTAAAGGTGGCCTAAATGGGGAGAATATAATTATGTCTGTCTGTCTGTCTGTCTGTCTGTCTCTCTCTCTGTGTGTGTGTGTGTGTGTGTGCACGCGCACATGCCTGTGTAACATGCCAGCACAGCAAAGTTTGGCATTTTCTGAATTTTTGACATGTCAAGCCTAAAAGGTTCACCAACGCTGATCTAAAGGATCATGAGTTACACATCACTTTCTTTCAAACTGATTGGGCCAGTTTTAGCAGGTGAGACTCAAGTGAGACCAAACATTAAGAAATCAGGGTAACTTCTTTTGACAATAGGTAACTTAAATCATGCGAAATCTGCTCAGATAGTTTAAATATAAATGGAATGGAATGAACTATATCTAGAGAAAAAAATATCAAAACTCTAATCACTAATGTCATCTAGATACTTGAGAAAATAAAACAAACTTCAAATTAGTCTAATTCTTAACTCCAAAACCCAATTCCAATTCTGTAACATTTGTGGCAGTTCCAAAAATATATATAAAGGATAAGTGCATATGGAAAGGACTAGATTTCACAGGCTTTAATGTCTGTCAAGGACTTTATGCAC